AAAAAAAAAGGGCGGTCAATGCGCGCGCCACACAAGTTGTAAAATAAAATCTCATCCCGTTTGGCACAGTGAGCACTAGTCTTGCATTTCTTTGCGGGGCTTGGGGCCTTTGCTGCAGCTTCTTTCACTTTTGATCTCTTGCTTTGCGCCCTGTCTTCGCCTCCTTCCTCCAAGAGAGGAATCTGCCTCCGTGGAACCTCTTCCTCTCCAAGAGAGGAATCTCTGCCTCCGAGGGCTGTCCAGGGCAGCACAAACTGTCGCCGCTGGTCAGAGACGGGTGAGGGTGTCAGAAGCCGCTTTTCCTTTGTGCTTTGACGAAGGCAAGTTAGAAACAGTGAGAAGATCCCTTTGGCTTATCTAGTTTTGTCAACTCTTGCGAATAACAATAGAAGTAAGTTTGGATTTGGGAGCTGAGAAGAGTCCTTTTGTTTCTTTTTTTTGCTGCTAGGAACTAAACTATGGGGTTCTTTTAACGATTATTCATGTTTACCTGTTCCTCTTGGAGGGGACATGTGACCATCACATCACTGGGAGCAACTGTCGGACATCACGAGATTGAGCTTGTGCTTGTGGCTTTCCGCACACCCTGCTTTATGACAGTCAAAGCACACTATTAATTTTAAGGCTTTTTTCCCCCCCTTTACCTTCCTGTTCTGTTCGGTTGGGTTTTTCCCATGTGAGTGGTTAGTAAGAATAGGCAATGGAAACCGTGGATGGAAGGAAGTAGCTTCTATTAATAGAGAAAATACATGGCAGAAACCATTTGTTGTCTGTTTCAGAAAGCTGCTATGTCAGTTTAACAGGCAAGCAAGGTTGTGTCCAAACTCTGCGTTTATCCCTGACTTGAAGCGTGAGAACAGAGACTTAGTTTCAGTTAGGAGGGGTATTTGGTGAAGCCCTTGCTCAAATTAGAGCCAGACTTGGAGTTGGAGCCAACTTTGCAGTTGGATCAAGTTTCCCAGGGCTGTTTCCAGCTGTGGTATTTCCGAGGATGGAGAACTGAGCCCTTGCTGAAGCATTTGACCACCTTCAAGGTGAAGAAATTTTTTTTCCAGTATCTGTAATTATGGTTTCCCTTGCTGCTCTTCCCTTCTCCCTTGTCGCTAAGCTACGAGGCTTTGTAATGAGTCCGGGAAAGACCTGGTTCCACTTAAGTGTGGAACTCAAGCCAGGGCCCTCCATCTTTGGTGTCTTACTGCTGTTAACCTGATGCAATTGTTGCATTGATGTCCTTGTCTCCTCATCTGTGACCCTAATTAACTTGGCGTGTGCCTTCACAGTGCTTTCTTGAACCATGAACTTCAGCCTTTGTGATCGATGTGTCGTTGATCCCTGCTGCACCCATCCACGTTGCCATCTGGATGTGATCGTGGTGGTTCCTGCCTGCTCCTTGGCTAAGGAGGCCACGTTTGGGTTTGGCAGTGTCACCATGGATGGGTTTAAATGTAGTATGAGGTGGTAGGAGCAACTCTGTCGAGGCTTCTCAACAGAATGAGTATTTCCTGTGTCCCCAGGCTTTGGGAGCGGCTGTCTCTGGTGAGATGCCATCTTTGCCAAGCAGAGGGAGCAGGTCTTGCTCTGCTGGCGCTGGCTCGCACATCTGCGATGTTGCCTTGGCTACCGGCTTGTCTGTAACCGAGAGGAAAGCTCACAAGAGAGGGCTGTGGTCGAGCAGTTTCCCTTCTCTCTGCGGAGGTTTCACTGTTTCTTCATGGAGAAATTTAGGGGTTCTGGCTCCTATGAGCTTTGCAGTGCACTCTGTGTGTCACCCAAACGCTGACGGTGCCGTGGTCTCTGCTCTGCTTGGTGCCCAGCTTCTGACCAGGCTCCCTCAAAGCCTTTTATTTTTTTAGTGACCATCCAGAAGGTGAAGTCTATTGGGAGCCTTTCTGTGCTCAGTGAGACCTTTTGGTGGCCTCCAGCTTAGCCCATCTCTGCAGTAGGCTCAGATTAATTTTCCTCCCTTTTTTTTCAGGGTTTCTTTGCCCGTTCTAAAAAGCGTGGATTAGGGTAGCAGAGCTCTTGGGTTTGGGCTCTTTTCCCAGTGCTGGGAGGGTTGGAAGCATGAAGCTCCCTGGAAAAGATTTGAGTAGTCGCCACTGTTGCTTAGAGGAGAGGCTGGTGTCCAGGAAGCCTAAAAAATCCGTGTGCTCTCTAGCTGAACTGGGAGGGTGGCGGTGGACTGGAAGCAGGGAAGAGAGCTGGGGTGGGATTGATGTGGATGGTCTGTGTCCTTTGCAGAGAACGAACCGCCCTGGGGCGTGCCCTGCACTCAGCTCCTCGTTTCTGTTGCCACGCCAGGCTGTGATGAGTTTCCCAGCCTGGACTCCACGGAGAGCTGTAAGTATGGAAGCTGGGAGTGGGAGGGAGTGGCTAAAGCAGCAGCGTGGATGTTGGAAATAGTGCTGTGGAGCACTTACTCCCAATTTTAGGGCAGCAACAGGCTTCCCTATGTTATTGAGAAGCTGGGGCAGGAGAGACTTACCGGAGGATGCTGATAAAGCAGTGGGAGAGGTTTAAAACAAACACCAAAAAAATAGTTCTTTGGGATCTGTGCAGTCATGTGTGAAAACCTCTGCCTGGTGCTGCTGCAGCCCCATATCTGGGCCTGTTGTGGCCTGTAGCAGTGTGTGGGGAGTGCGGGACATAACGCCAGCCCTTCTGACATCGCGTTTCAGATAAGCTCTCTATCTCGGAAGGCTCTGCTCTGCTCTTGGCGGATGCTGTCTGGGGAGCTCTCAGAGGTGAGGTGTACTTTTTTTTGGTTTGTTTTTGGTTTTTTTTTTTCCCATGGACTGACTTGTTTGAGCTCTGCTCCTTTGGGGAGGAATCTGTGGTGAGAAAGGGATTGTGTGTGGTTTTTGTACAGGCCTGGAAACGTTCAGCCAGCTGGTTGGGAGAGATGAGAATGGCACGGTGAGTGCTGGCCTCATCTCCCGAGGCAGTGAGGGTGCCTCTCCTTGTCCCACCGGCCCTGAGGACAAAGGTGACCCCAGTTGTCTCCTGCTAATGCCTGTGCTGCCCAAAAACTCTCCTCACTTTGTTCCTCATGTTCTGTGCATTGCAGTACTACATCAACAAGACAGAAATAGTGGACTTTCCCCGCTTCCCTCACCGAGGACTGTTGCTGGACACCTCTCGTCACTACTTGCCTCTGAGAGCCATCCTGGAAACTCTGGTAGGGTGCTTGTGCTCGGAGGTGAGGTGGTTGAGTTGGGTGTCCCTTCCTCTGCGACATCTGAGAGCGACTTGAGTGGCCCAGCAGGGATTTTTGTGTTGATCATATTTGCCGTTTAATGTGTAGGCCACTGCATCTATGTTTCTATGAGGAAGAGCTTGTCAAACCTAAGCTTTTTGAACAAAACCAGCTTGCTTGTCCCTAGATGAAGTGGCAGACTGGGGTGGGATGGCAGCGTGACCTCAATTCTCAATACAGATGTGCAGCGTGGGAAAAATGTTTCTGTGCTGTAGGTCCTTCCCAGTTCCCGTGGCTGTGTTTGCTCCTGGTGTAACTCACCGCTGCCTTGTTTGGGTGATTTCTCAGGGAGAAAACTCTGAGGTATCTTGGATTCCTGCAATCCAGATTACTTTTGGTGACTGGGTTGTTTCCAAGGCAAGGGAAAACACTGTTTTCTTCCCAGCTACGTTAGACAAAAGTGGTGATTCTGCGTTCATCCCAAGCAGGCTTAAGCTTCCAGGCCTCCGCTATCAGCCTAGTTATGGGGAGAACAGGGATTTCTATTGTGAGCAGAACTACTACTGGCCCTCTGCAGCGCTTTGTGGCACTGGTGTGTTTGAAGAGAGGTGTCTGAATCCGTCTGGCATCCTGAGGAGCATTTAGGGATTCTGCCTCATTCTTTTGGAGCACAGGGACTGCATTCCCTTTCTGTGGCAAGCTGGGTGACGTCTTAGAAGGGACAGGGCACGTTCATCTTGGCTCCTGTTCCTTCCCAGGATGTCATGGCTTACAACAAGTTCAACGTGTTCCATTGGCACATTGTGGATGACCCGTCTTTCCCCTATGAGAGCTTGACCTTCCCTGAGCTCAGCAAGCAGGTAACTTGCTCTGATTGCTGTGTGGCACCCAGGCCGGGGCAAGCAGATCCCTTGGCACGTCAGCGCAGCACTGAGATTTCCCACATCCCCCCAGGGAGCCTTCAACCCCATGACCCATGTGTACACAGCCAGCGATGTGCAGACGGTGATCGAGTACGCCCGGCTGCGCGGCATCAGGGTCATTGCGGAGTTTGACACTCCTGGGCACACGCTCTCCTGGGGTCCAGGTGAGGAGCAGACCAGACCCTCTCCGCTGTGAGGAGAGCTGTAGTTGTCCTGCTGGTACAACTCACAGGCCATTCTTGGGGATTTGTATGGGGTGATAGGGTCTCCCCTTCCTCACTGTCCTGTGTTTGGTTGTGACCCAGGGGCTCCGGGCCTGCTGACTCCCTGCTATTTGGGCAAGGATCCTTCTGGCACCTATGGGCCCATCAACCCCATCCTGAACAGCACCTACCAGTTTGTGAGCAGCTTGTTTAAAGAGGTCAGCACCGTGTTCCCAGACTTCTTTCTTCACCTCGGTGGTGATGAGGTGGACTTCACGTGCTGGTGAGTCTGAGATGAGTCTGGGTGGTGAAGTATCATCATCACCTGCAGATCTTTGATGTCCTGATGTCTTTGTGCTCGCAGTGATGTTGGTTGTGGGAAGCCACTGGTGCCGACACAGGCACAGTTCTTGGGATGCCTGGGCTAGTCTTGGACTGATGTGGGAAGGACTTGGCCATCTCTTGGCCTTACTCCAGAGCTCGGGTTGCAATCTTTTTGTTCTTTCTCTCTGGCACGCAGGAAATCCAATCCAAAAATTCGTGCCTTCATGAAGGAGATGGGCTTTGGTGATGATTACAAAAAATTAGAGTCACTCTACATCCAGAGGTAAGGACGATTGCACCCTCGGCCTGCATCTGTAGTGTGTGATGCGCACAGATATCTTCTTTCTCGGGGCACCAGATCTCCTTTTCTGGAGCACACCCAATTGGGCATATCTCCCTGACCCCAAAAAGGAGAAGCCTAACTGCGTTTTATTGGGAGGCTGACCACAATAAAACCTGGGCTGAGGACCAAAGCAACCCTGCAAGGGACTGTGCTTTCTCCCTTCTCCTTTAGAAGTACCTTATGTTCTGCTGTTGGTGTTGGGATGACCCAGAACTCTGTCCTCTTTCCACTCCAGGCTTCTGGACATCGTTGCTTCTCTTGGCAAAGGTTATATCGTATGGCAGGAGGTGTTTGACCATGCGGTGAAGGTGGGGGCTCACCTGCTTTCCCTGACATTGTTCCCTGTGCTGGGGGAAACGATGCTGGCACTGATGTGCTTTGGGTCTATCAGGGGGTACTCTCCCTTTGGGGAGTGTTTGGAGCTGTGGGTAGGTCAGGGCACTCTCCTTGCAGGGGGAGGTGGTGCTCTTGTCGCCGCACTGATGTTGTGTACGGGCTTCATGTGTGCTTCTCAGCTGAGGCCAGACACCGTTGTCCATGTGTGGAAGGAGAGCTCCACGCCATACACAGAGGAGATGGCGAATGTCACCAAGGCTGGCTACCAGGCTCTGCTCTCTGCCCCCTGGTACCTCAACCGCATCTCCTACGGGCAGGACTGGATGGCAGCCTACCAGGTGGAGCCCTTGAAGTTCGAAGGTGTGTTCCTTATGTCTCCTTCCCTTATGGCCATAGCTGAGCCACTCGCTGCTAGTGCGGGTGCCTCTTTGGGCAGGATGATGAGTTGCCCTGTTCTACAGCCCCAGTGTCCTGAACGTTGTGTCCTCTGGCAGGCAGCGCTGAGCAGAAGGATCGGGTGATTGGCGGAGAGGCCTGCATGTGGGGTGAATACGTGGATGTCACTAATCTCACACCCAGGCTCTGGTGAGAGAAGCCCGCGGGGAGCTTGGCTTGGGTGGAGTTTGATGTATGGAAGCCGTTTTGTGTGATGTTGGCTTGGGAGCTCAAGGCTTGACGTGAGAAGCTTTTGAGCCTTTTTTTTTTTCCCTTTTTTGACTGCCTCTGTCCCTTGTTCCTCAAGGCCAAGAGCTGGGGCCGTTGCCGAGAGACTGTGGAGTAACGCGACTGTCAGGGACCTGCGAGACGCCTACGTGCGGCTGGCCGACTTTCGCTGCAAGCTCCTTGGGTAACCATCCCTCCTCATGGCCACACATGGGCTTGTGGGGACAACGCAAAGGCTGCCCTCTCTACGGTTTGACCTTTGGGTGAAGCAGACCTTGGGGTGAAGCAGCCATTTCTGGGGTGCAAAGTGAATTATTGAAAATCCTGAGCCTTTCCTCCTGCCTGTGTGTGGGCAGAATTTGTAATGTGCTGGAAGGGAGCCCCTGCTGTCGGCGTGGGCTGCTGGCTCTGCTGAGGAGAGGACTTCGTGCTGTGGAGTGGGGACCTGTCAGCTATTGCTCTGCCTGACGTAGTCTCTCCGCTCTCTTTCCAGGCGTGGTGTCCAGGCGCAGCCTCTCTTTGTAGGATACTGTGAAAATGAATTTGGTGGCTTTTGAAGGGAGAAGTTCTACTGCCCTCGGTTGCTGTGCGCTCTGGAGGAGTGATCCCCCCTCGCTCAAAAGCTGCTGGTTTGGCAGAGGGACCCCTTCCTGCCCTCAGCTTCTGCTCTTGCTTTGTTGCAGTGAACTTCTTTTTTTTTCCCTCAGCGTGCACTCTTCACCTCCTTTTCTATTTTTATTTCTTTAAACCTATAAATAAATGACCCCAGAGGAAAAAGGTGCTTTTTCATGCTCAGCCAAGGCTCGAGAGGCTGTGCAGGCATTAGCAGGAGATGGGTGGGGCTTGCTCTGTAGATGCCGGTGGAGGATCCATCTGGCTGTGTCCCATGCTGGTGGCTCCAGAACTTGCTGGTTGCTTGCTGTGTTGACCTCTGCTGCTGTCGTGGACGCCGTCCCTGCAGAGAGAAGGTGTCATGAGGTGTGGGCTCCCTCAGCTTTCTCACCTGGACCCTCCCACTGTCCACACTTGACAAGGCATTACTTGTACCAAGATGTGACTGCATGGCCACCTCCGTTTTGCTTCTATGGCCCTTCCACACACCAGTGGTCACTGCTGTGGTTGTCCCATCTTTGTCTCTTTTCTCTCTGTCTACAAGCCACTGTGTCTCTGCTGCCACCTCCCTTGGCTTTTCCTAAGAAAAAGACACCCTGAAGCTTCTCCAAGGAGACCTCAAACCCACTGAGCTGAGCCGTGACTCCAATGTCTACACACTTGCCAGTCAGCTGTCATCCCTGCTCAGGATTTGGCCGACTGATCCGTCCTCCTTCTGCTCTGGTGTCCTCGGGGTGGGTCTGTTTTCCTTGGAGAAAAGACTGGTGGAGCTGCTGTCCCCTGGGGACAGTTGTGGTTCTTTTCCTTTCATAGTTGGAGTTGCTGCTCTGGAAATCTTGTCCAGCTGGAATGGGGGGGATCTACGTGTGTGTCTTTGTCTTAAATAGGCAAAATCTGCTGTTATGGCTGGAAATGTCTTACTGTTGAACTTTCATTTAAAAATACTGAATTAACTTTAAATAAACAATAATAGGAATTATCAAGTCACTTCTCACCCTGCCTTGCTATGTGCTCCCTTTCACCCCCATTCGGGTCCCCAACGCAGGGACTTCCATGAAATGCCTGTGTTTATGATCCAAATTAAATATCACCCTGTAAATATCTGCACCAGCACCTCCCCATACCCACTGTTTTTTGGGGGTCAGGGCTGGGCTGGCCATTTGGGGGGTGGCAGCACCCTGCTTTCTTCCACTGCGGCCTCGCCTCGCTACCCTCTTGCTTCCAGAATGTCTATTTTCGGTCACGGCAAACTTGCTGGGGAGTGGAGAACAGGCAGCGCGTGAATCACTTGGGGCCAACGGGTTTAAAAATAAACCCAAGCAGCAGCAGCGACGAACGAGCTGCTGGCTTTCGGCAGGGTTGTGCCCCGCGCCTCCGAAATCCGCCTGCGGGTGCCTGTCCCTGGGGGGTGTCCCCGTCTGGGGGGGCGCTTCTTGTGTGTCTTTGCGTGTGCTTGCAGACATGCGCATGTGTGGAACAGAGGTGTATGTGCTCACGCATGCTTGTGCACACCTGCATGTGTATGGCAGCCCAGCTGTTGCTCTGGGTGTAGTTAATTAATGTCTGTGCCAGGTTTTACGTCTAATTACAGGTATTTCGGGGTAGTGTGGAGGCGCTTCCTTGCTGTGGGTAGCACTCCCAAGGGGGCAACCAGGACAAGGGGGTGAAAAACACAACGAAGGGCCCAAATCGTCCCTTTTAAATCCT